TTGCTTACTGAGACCTGCTTTCTGATTTAGCTAAACTTTTTCCAGCCTAGTGAAGTGCCCCAATTTTTTTTTAGGATATTGACTGGAAAACAGCAGTGAACACCACTATGAAAGCAGATTATTATTGTGGATCATGCAGGGAGAACAAAGGGAGAAATATTTAACTATAGCACTGTTTGACTATATTTTCTGTGCAGTGAGGAAACCTGAAGTCATGTTCAAGTTCTACCATTTCTTGCTTTTTTTTCAGTTGGGTCAATTTTTAGACATTCTAAATCTCCATTTTCTGGCTAATGAAATGAAAAGAGGATTCTACTGAGTCTCCTCTCTACCTATTCCAGGACTTCTGTGAGGATCAAATGAGATGAGGCACAAGAAAACATTTCAAAGACATTTGGCTAAAGTGTAAAATGTTTGCACCTGGCTGTAAAGCAAGTGGGATGAAGAAACTCCAAGGAGGCTAGTCCCTAGGGAAAGGAAGCCTGGCATTGCTATGTGACATCATTACCCGGTGCCCACAGCCACCATTTCCCTGCTGGGCTGGGCTGTGGGCTTAGTGCCATGGGGTGGTGGCGGGGGCCTGTGTCCCACTTGGGGAAAGTGGAGTGTTGCTTGTAGACTCGGGGAGCGCAGTGCTGTTTCTCTATAAATGGCCAGTTCACGTCACAGCAGCTCCAGTATTGAACGTCTGCCCCTGGTGTGGTCAGTGCTCATCATAGCGAGTGGTCAGATGGTGGAATCCTTAGCACATTAGCCTTTTATATATATAGATTTTGCAATTAGAATGGCAAAAACCGTTTTAAAAAAATTTACTGTGGCTCATGTCTGAAGTTTATCAAATCTGAACCTTGACTGTAGATGTCAGCCTTCCAAAGAGGAATTCTTCAAATACAGCCTGAGCTGTGGACCCTGAGGCATCCTGCCTAGGAGCCTCTCTTCAGGGTCCCTGACCCGCCCCATCCCGTACCGCGCCTCCAACCCCTGCCCCATTATTTTTCCCAAGCAGACGCAGCATCTCCAAAGCCCAGTGTCTCATTCAGGAGCTGTTGGAGTGCAAGAATGCATTTTTTTTCTTTTTCTTTTTTTCTTTTTTGTGCCTCCCGGAAACCGCTGCCACGGCCCGGACGCGTCCTCACCCCACAACACCCTTCATCGGGGCCCGGGACCGGTCGCTGCCCGGTGGGACAGGCTGCGGGCGTCCATCCGTCACCCGGAGCCCGGCCTGGGCACCACGGCCCGGGGGCGGCCCCGCCCGGCCCGGAGGGAGAGCTCCCGCCCGCCCGGCGCCCTTACCTTCGAGTCGGGGTCCGCGGGGAGGGCGTCGCTGGTGGTGGCCAAGGCTTCGGGCTCCGGACGGAACAGGCCGACCTGCGCGGGCAGCAGCGCCGCGGGGTCCTGCGAGTCCTCGGCCTCCCGGGTGTCCAGGGACACAATATGCGTTTTGTTATTGGCGATGCTCGCTGCGCAGCCCATGCTGGCGGCGGCCGCTCTCCGCTAGGCAAACGGTCAGCAAACGGCCCGCCCGGCGCCTCGCGGCCACCGCCGGCGCCAT